GGGCCCAGGGGAGAGATGAGGCCTAGGCACCATCCCTCCACCAGGAAATCCTAAATATTATAAAGGAATATGAAGTTCCACCTATAACACCTTGAACCAAATGCAGGACAAAAATGGCCACAACACTTACATGTCTCTATGTGATACAGATGAGCAGTAGCCAGTGGAAGTTAAATTAACAGTTGTGAAAAAAATATCATTATGCTGTATTTACCAATATAGGAGATATCTACTACCTCTGTCTAAGTGTCTGCTCCTAGAAACTTTTCTGATGACAAAAGTCACTGCCTTTTATCACAGCACAGCTTGAACATTTATTTCTCTTAAACGCAGGTCTCATGGGGTTTCCTGAGAATGCTGAGGTAAGAACTGAACCTGCTTCCTCTGAGGTTTAAAAATATCTATTGTCGATTTTAAGATGGTCCAAAATGCAAAACTATTAACTAATATACTTTATTTATTTTTCACAGGTTACTTGGAATATGTGGATGCCATGCTGTCATGGCATTAAACTTCTATTAATTCTTCTATTCTATTATCTAGTCTGTTTACATGAAAACAAGCCAGTGAAGCCACACATAAGCAATAATTGCTCAACTCTGTAACTGGATAAATGCAAGTCTTTAATACCAAATTCTGGGACATTCAGCCAATGTAATATCATCCCCATGAGGGCAAGCAGGTGGCTGATTCTCCATCCCCCATCAGTAAAGTAACATACTGCACATTTAAGTTACATTGTTTATAAAATATTTTTTAACCAATTCAAACCCCTTAGGGTTGTTGCTTGGATTTGTCTGATGATTTAAAAAGGTTCAGTGTGGTTTTAAAATAAATATCCCCATGTTGTTGACAGATAATGTGAGGGTGCTCTTAAATAGGATCTGACTGCATCATTCCTCATGAAGTGTTGAGCGGGCTGTGAAGTGGGTCAGCCTGGATGAGATTAGAAAGCCATCGTATGGTGAAAGATGATGCATGGCAAAGTAGGAAAAGTATTTTAGCCCTAATATGATGAAAAATGAGAATGTGAGGATGAAATGTAACACCTGGCTGTGGACCTGCTCAGTCCAGTGTGTGAGACCATTATCTCCCATTTACTATGTCAGTGTGGCAGATTAGAGGAGGCAATAGGAAGAGGCTGTGAACAGTCATAGTGTCATGATAGGAGTCCATATTCAGTGAAGTTTAGATTCACATGCATTTGTAAAGATAATTTAGTCTGTTCTTGTTGCAGTATTCTATCTATGTAGTAAACAGACTGAAAATAAAAATGTAATAATTTACTTTATTTGAATCAAGATTTAATTGTTTTAAAATGGCCATTATTAGCTTGGTGTTTTTGTAATCAACATGGTCTACAGCCAATCTTCTGTGGAGTAGAGTTCACACTTTGGATGAATGAATTTGACTATTATGTGTGTTAAATGGAACTATTGGTTTATTTCAACAATCTGCCTTAGGTACCTTATTCTATTATTGATGTGCTTTTTCCTATAAGACACCACAAAATCAAATAATAATGGTTATTTATTTATTTGCTATATTGCTCAGGCTTAATTTGCATAATTATCTGATCAGAAAATAAACGGAAAGGGCCATGCATCTTATTCACAAATTATTTATCAAGTCGCAATAGCAATTTCTTACAGAAGTAAAATGTTGTTTCTGAATAAATCAAATTATACATTGATCATCTTGGTAAATAAATGTATTTCTGTTGCCTCTGCACTGCCTCACAGTTCCTGTACTGTAGTGCTAAAAGGGCTTCCTCTATTTACCAGAAGCTCTCAAACCTGAATAAGAAGCACTTTTCTTCAAAAATATCTAAACCAGCTATTTTCTACCATTCTATTTCAGGTTGTATAATTTACAACAAACACTTATTACATTGTATTGACATAATTAAGACACTTTCAGCTAAGAAAATCCAAAATCTTACAAAACAAAGATCTGGTTTATTTTCACATCATTGAATGTTTTCATACCTTGAATGCTTCTCGTGCCTGTGGTGGAGAAAATGTGTGAATTGGGTATAGAGGGCCTCATTGTTGGAGGTCTGGCCTGTATTACTTTACACATATATTTAACTATTGGATGCTCTGTGACCCTCAGGGCAGCACTGCACTGACAGACGAATGGCCTGTCTCTGTCACACCTGCTCACAATATGTCAGACTCCAACCTACATCGCACACAAAGCCACAGCCATGAGGAAAAAAATTGGCTTTTCATGGGCCATGGCCAAAACCAAATGTGGAATCCTGTTTCCCAAATGCACAAAATCTGCAGAAATATAAGCACATGATTGGATATTTCCCTAAAATAAACTATGCTTACAGTCGTTTCTGTTATTCATTAATTACAGAAGAGTTCAGCTGTGAAACTGGACTGACAATAGACCGTGTGTGCACCCTTAGACTCATCTGTTTATTTCTCAGATGGTGCTGTGATGCATCTCCAAATCGAACTTTAGTCCATCCTTAGAAATGTTGCAATTAAAAACATATCACATAAACCAAACATTCTCACCCTTACACAGCATTAGGTGATGGTACAATCAAATTATTTAGCATTTAACAGCTCAAAAGCAGATTTACACTATAAGACTTTTTGGGCAGGTGGCCCACAAGTTCCTAGCAATTCTAACTAAATTATACATCTGACATCTTAATTAAACAAAATTTGAATTTTAAAAATAAAATATAATTATATGATGAATTAATTCACTAAATAAAAGTAGAACTAACTATGAATCACACATTACTTCTTGTACCACACCACTAGATTTTGCTCTAAAAGTGGAAGTTCAAGAAACCCATTGCAGTTGTTAACTTTATAACTGGTTATGGCTGGACCAAAACTAATGGCATAATAACCACTTGTTGCTTCAGTCATCATTTATAGAACTGCCTTCTATATTTGTTTGCTGGGAAAGTCTCCGACATCCCATATAATTCTGCAAATAAACCAAAAAAGAAATGATTGAAAGGACTTGAGATGTATTGCAATGATTTTACACTTGACAATCAGCTTCATCTTATGTATAGCATTTAAAGTGTAAGTACATAAAGGGATGGAAAATTAAACAGCACTGTATGATTATTTTGCCTGAGAAGATTACTTCATCGCAAGCTGAAGTTAAGGAAGCACCCCTGAAGAAGAGTGGTGCAGCCAGGTGGAAGCTATAGAGTGCAAATTAAATGGCTTTTATGTTATGGACTCTCCTATTTAGCAGCAACAGGAGACATTCTATGCATAATTCCCATCTCCACTACGCAGATCCTCTAACTGGCTTTTATTTTAATGGGGGATTTTTTTGATGCTATATTAAATAATTTAATTCATCTACCAATTCGTAAAAGCTCATATATCTATATAGCTCATAATTCCGTTCATGTGGTGTTTTGTGTATTCAGGTGGGAGATGCATAAAGAAGCAATGCAAACTGAACTGAACAAAGCAGTGGTCCCCAAACCCTTTCGCAATACAACCTACTCATGTATACAATGGCCACTCTAATATCCTTCTCCATATGGGAAAAATATATTTTTACTTCCTGGCTATAGAACAGTAATGATTATAATAGAAAAGCAATTAATATGCCGTCCCTTTTTTGTTACCTTCTGGTCAGAAATTAATATACAAGCAGAGGCGGAGCTATCATTAGGCAAAATAGGCATCTGCTTAGGCCCCCCCCCCAAACCATGGATCTATTAAAATAACTGGATAGGGCATTGTTAGCTTGTAGATGCTTCCAGTTGACGTAGTGGCTACTCACTGGAACTTCAGTGGAAAAAACTCCCCTGGGTCGAGACAAGATTTTTCTCATAGAGCACAATGTAATCACAAACTGATCGTGTTCAGCTGACCGGGCACTTAAAACTTTCAAAAAAGTTAAATTTGTTGGCGATTTTTACCTATTTTTAGACCATAACATTTTTCTCAGCACAAAATCCTTCAGTTGTCTTAAAAAAATGCTTTATAATTGTTAGCTCCGACTACACTCTACTCTGCTCTAGCTCCTCTCTCTCCGATTGGTCAAAGCAATCACATGATACACAAGCCCACGCTCCATACATGCGCTCGTGTGCATTTGTGTGTGCCCGCGGGAGAAAAAAGCACTACTGTGCATGCTCGGTTGGCCCATAGCCATCGGAAGTACCTAGCCGGGCTAGGCTAATCTGGGATCATGCACGCTTAAGCTTTGCCCAGCTTTGACTTGAATGGGCAGCCATTTGGCAAAAAATAATCATATGTAATGGATGTAAACAAAAACGTAATCGTCCCAGCAAGAAAATAAAACTAGTTTCAGCTCTGGTTTTCTAGTAGATGACCAAACTAATAAGACAAGTTTTACAATCCACCATTATTCAAATAAATAGAAATGTGCATGTCTAAAGAACAATGGGGAAAAACTGACAAAAAATAAAACAAAACAAAAAAAGGATGCATTATAGTGAGGGCCCCAAACTCAAGTTCGCCTAGGGTGAATATACTAGGCTGATTTTTTATTTGAAATAATAACATAAATAACTTTCAAACAGTGTTGCTCAGCAGTATCCCTATTATCCATGAAATTGACAATAAAGCTATTTAAAATGAGACAAGAGCAACAAAACCACAGAAAATCCTCAATGTATGTGTGTGCAATTTTAAAATAAATCGCATTTTGACTTTGTTCAGAAAGGTAGAAGGCTGGAGGTGGTATATATAGACACATGGACAAGCCTAATGTGGGTCCTTTTTAAGCCATAATCTAATATCCCTGTATATGATCCCTGTGAAGTTAATGGATAATACACCACCTGAGACAAAACTGTCTCCAGCTGCAGAGTGTCCAGAGCAGATGAATAAAGAAAGACCACCATGACAGCCTGTGGGGACAGACAGCAAATTCCTAATGGCTCATTTTAACAATAACTAGAAACTTTTTAGGAAGAAGCTTTCACTCAACCCTCCAGATGATAGATGAATGTTATAAAGTAAATGGGCACTTACTGAGCTCTGCGATGCTGCCCACTCGTGTTGCCAGAAGGGACTGCTCTAGGGTGCGTAGTTCACCCTGGGTGTATCCACTCTCACTGCCTCGACCCGATCTCTGCTGGTCCCTGTGCAAATTTAGGCTCTCGGGCAGACTCAGCACACCTGTGGACCACATAAAAACATGAACAAGACAGGTAAGCAACATACTACAGGCCTGTCATGATAACAAAGTGTGCTTTATTGCTAATGTAAATATAGATGATGAATGATAATACTACAACTAATGTATGCCACTGATGCAAAACCCCAAGAGCAGATTTAAACCACAAAAACTATTCTAAATCTAATATTTTGAAAAAAATCAAGTGTTGCAATAAATAAACAGCAGAATAAAACACTTTAGTACTTAGTTTACATCTGCAATGAGTCATATAATTTATTAATTTAACCTTTCATGGCTGACAAGACCGTGGATATAATAGGTCAAAATGAGTTTCCCTGAGATAGGATGAGGAACTCAGTCACACAGGAAGAGTACAGAGTAGAGCTGCTGCTCCTCCACGTCAAGAGGAGCGACCTGTGGTGGTTCGTGCATCTTGTTCCGGATGCCTCCTGGATACTTCCTTAAGGAAGTGTCCCTCCAGAAGGAGGCCTCGGAGAAAACCCAAGACACGCTTTCAGCTGGCCTGGGAATGCCTTGGGGTCATCCCAGAGGAGTTGGAGGAAGTGTCCAGGGTGAAAGAAGTCTGGGAGACCCTGCTTAGACTGCTGCCTCAGTGACCTGGCCCCAGATAATATTGAGCTCTAAAATATATTGTTCCAATTTTCCAATACTGAATGATAAGTCGATGTAGTAATTATCATGTCAAGCCTAGCAACATATATCTAGCCTTACATTACGACTCTAATCCAACAATATTGTGTGGTTGTTTACCCTGAGACCTTGTCTATAATGAGATGCTGTTAATTAAATGTTTTGAATAATTAAATGTAATCAATAAACTGTGCTGCTTTCTTCAGCTGATCTAAATTAAAAGACACCAAAGTAAACTCACTTAAGGTTCATTTTATTTAAATGGAAAAACAAAAAGAAAATAGCCTTTTTTAAATTGGAATCGCTGCAGCTTTTGGGACCATAAAGGTGCTTGTGAACATTAACATTAATTGCTCATTACTGCAATTGAGCCGTAAAACAGTGCAGAATCTTTAACAAAAAAGCCACAGGGAAAGATGAGTTAATTATTATATGGAACACTTCCCAGTATTAGGAACTACACTAACAACAACATTAGGAGGATCTGATACATCAAGCTGCAATTTCAACAACAATTACATGGAAAAATTTCAGCATCTCCACAAAAATGCAGACTAAAGAGCCTTGGTTCATTCAGGCACTGATTTTTTGGACATAAAGTGAAATTGTTACATGAGAAAGCTTAGTAACACCATGTTGAGTGCTAATCCTGATGACACTGCACAGAGGGCGCCGCTCCCTCTCAGCAAACTGTAATTACAACATGAGCCACTTTGTCCATGAAGCTGATGTTGGCACTGAGACAAAACACCCCCATAATGGTCTCAGAGCAGGGGCTGTATCTCTCATGTACTCTTAATACAATATAATACTATGACCAGAGCATTGTGGATTCCAGCACATGCTCCATTCCCACTGAGTCCCGCCTGAGAATTCCAGAACTCCCTGGTCAGTTCATGGTTCCCACATTTTCCGGAGGTCAGACTTAGAAACCACAGATAATAAAGCTTGTTATTCTGCACCAATGGGCACAACTAATCAATAATGAAAGTGCACAAAAATATGATGGGACTGTACTACACAAAACACATCAGTGGTGAGAAAACACATCAGCGGTAATGGCAGAAATAAAACAATGGATTCTAGAATGGATCCTTTCAATGTTCCAGAGTATTGCATCCAGATATCTTGCATTTATTCTATTACATGTCTTTCTATGGTTAAAAGACATTAAAAACAAACATTCTTAATGTGAGTGTCCATGCCTCTCCACAGATGTGACCTGTAACTTGGCACAGTCATCTGTCTCCATGGCTATAGATAAGATGAATGGCTGGAACATTCCAAACAAAACAATATCTCCATACAAGCAGACCCTCCACCAGAAAAGATCTATAGTGAAAGTAAGATTGTTTTCTACAGAATTTACCAAATGAAACCAAACAATAGTAATCCAAAGGTTTCTTATGGTAAAGATCTCTGACCTTTTCCTCAGTGAACACTTGTCCATCCACCTTTTTTCTCCACTGCCCCCTACTGTCCAAACTGTCCTCTCAGTATGATGGCAGGGTGTGGGAAGGCTTTTGCTGAATAATTCATTTTGTCAGATCGAGCCGTATAAACAAGTCTCTCTTCCCCTGCACCTCCCACTTTCTCTCTCCATGTTATCTCTCTCCAACAGTTGGCTTAAAAAACTGACTAAGAATATTTGATCCTGGGTTGTTTGTGTAATGAACATCAAAGGTGAGGGGAAAGCTGCCTGGATCCTGCTGAGTTTGTAAAAACACAGTAAAGGCAGTGGTGGAGGTTGCAGGGTTGATGTTGAAAAAATATCTCATAAAATGACAGGGAAGGTTACATTCATTTACACAAGGTCATGGCTGTGGTTTATGTCGAACGATTTCTCCATAGTTGTGATTACATGAGTTGTAAATAACTGTATTTATTAGACAGGCTTCAGAAACATTAAAGACATAAAAAAAAACAACTACCAAAATCTTAAATCCCAACCACATGCAGGCAGTTTATTAAACCTGTATGAGGTTGTCTCTTTGTATGATGGACAGAACCATAATATGAAAATTAACAAATAAAGAACATTCACGAAATATGCATGAGTGCACTTATTGAATGGTTTGCACTGGCTCTATACCTTACATTACCAGAGAAAGACAAGTTTTTCTCTCAAGTTTGTCCCCATGTTCCACTGAACTTATTACTTCCTGTGTACTTTGAAAGCAGTGACTGATAACATAAGCCTACCATCTGTCACTTCCCATCTGTTATTTAAATAATTGTTTGCATAATATTACTTTTGTATTGAAATCCTGTGATCTGTGCCCATACAAAGTGAACATAATGAGTCATTCACAGACACTGAAAAGGGATCTTCAGGTCTGTTTGAGAAAAAGTTAGATTTCTACAGGATTTAAGATCACTGTCATAACAATTTCTTAGCTCATAGTAATGAAGATTTTCATTCCTCCTAATATTTGAGCACCCTCCTCACTATGGAGCATAGAATGCACTTCCACAATTAGTTTCAAAGGTGGGACTAAGGTGACACAATTCCTTTGTATGGAAAATCATATTCCACTTGTCCACACTTTTATTATTGGCCAATGTCAATGGGGTCACAGTTGTGCATCAGGCATTTCATTTGTAGATATTATCCTTGCTGCGCTGTTCCTCTGACCGTGGCCAGCCTGCTCATTCTCCGCAGGATTCTCCAATTGATTTCCTGTATACAGCAGGAAAAGTAGTAGCTCTCCCCTGTGTCAGCGAGGAAACTCTGACGGAATATTAACAGGTAGTCGCCATGGCAACAGGATGGGATGCCTTTAAGCTCTGTGATTGGACAATTCAATAACTTTTTTTTTTTTTTTACTGTATTCTTGCATGAGAATACCTGCTAGTTACAAGAAGTATGCACTTAAACTCCCCCTCAGGAGCACAATGCTAGTTATATGTAACACTGGCAGAGACAATACAATATTAAAACAATACAATATTAAAACCTCCATCAATACTAGATGGAATACACTTGGGACTCTCCCCACATTAGTAGTGTGATTGGTAAAATGATTAAACAAGCAGTATGAAATGTCTATTAATACAATTCAGCAGCCTCAGTAAAAGAAATAGGGAGAACATATGGATCTATATAAGTCCCAGTGCACTCCTTTTTCACATGGCCCTGGCAGCACACGCAGACACATCAACCCTGCTGTGTAAATCATGTATGATCACATGGTCTCACAGGCTTAGTATTAAAAACACATGGGGATTTGCCAAAGCCTACCATTGCAGGTGAAATTACTGGAAGATGGACACTATGGATGCAAGTATTGAACCACAACTGACTGGTTTGTAGGTCTGAAATAGACTGAGATGAGAAAAGAGTGAGCTAATAATATATTTAAGGGTACTGTAAAATGATATAAAAGTTTCAGTAAAAGCAATAAAAAAATGTGCTACAAAATGGAAAATACTGAGGTCACAATGTAAATAAAACACATATTAGCTCTAAAGGAGAAGCTGAGATAAAAATTTAAATGAATTCTTAACAGTTTCTGATTTCTCATAAACTAGTGATTAATCCAGATAAAAAAATAAATTAAAACTATAATAATAATAATAATAATAATAATAATAATAATAATAATAATAATAATAAGCAACTGGGATTTAATGTAGCATGCTATGACAAATACTGTTAATTTGCTTGTATATCATTTCAAAGCATTCCCTCATTTGTCCTGTTAAATGTCAGCTTCAGAGACCCATTTAAATTTCTACCAACTAATGCATGGTGTTATGAAAACAGAGATGCCAAAGAGTGATTTTCTCCATCAACTGTTCGTGTGTTATTCTGTCTCTGTCCCTCTCAAATCTCACCTCCACCATAATCACATATTTACATTTGCCAACAAGCTAATTAGCCCTGGCTACGAGCTAATGATATCACCCACATCTGTTTGATATTTGTACTGATACAAGCGCCAAATTGTCACTGTTTAGTGCTTGTGGCTATACTTGCAAGAGCCCAGTAAAATGAGAATACTGCCCTAAAATTTGATGTTTCTTTAAAATTAAATGCAATGTTGAATTGATATAATTGAATATCTTAAAACAATTTAAACTGAGGGGGATTACTATCAACACATTTTGTTTACAAAGTTGTTTACATTTCCGCTTACATAAAAAATTCACAGGGTAAATTAAGGGGATTAGTTACAATATTTAATTGGATAACTGTGCAAAAAATTATGTTCCATGTTAAACCAGATACACCCATGGGGCAAAATCAGCAATTATTAAAAATTATGCATTAGTTTTGTCTTTATTATTATTCAAAACAAGTGCTCCCAACACGAGCCATAGAAATCACTGAAGGTCGCTTTGTTTTTTTATAAAGTCAC